TGATGATGACCTTTTGAACAGTATCTAATCTAGATAAGATTTCTTGACCTTATCTCTTGTTGTCCCATAATCTATTCTAAATTTAGTTCCCTTTATCAACAAACTTCTCAATAGATTATCCTTAACTATTCCCAGATCTCCGGTTACTATATGCCCAACATTACTATTGATAAAATCTTTGAATGATGTGTCATTGCATAAACATTCACTTTTCATGATATGCCTTATGTTCTCATTATCTAGCTCTTTGAGTGTTTTATTGTAATTATATATTTTGCTTGAGGCTGTCCGGCCATACGTGTAAATAATTCTGATGGGTACGAATTCTTTAGATTTGTGCGTATTATTACTTATGATATTTTTTATGGCACTGGAATTGAAAATTTTGTTGAAGGGGATGTCATTGTAAATTCTGCTTTCGAAACCTACTGTTATATTGTGGAAACTAGTTTTTGGTTTATCATAATTGTAGTCATAATATTGAAAGTGGGCCAGTATACAAAATACTAAGTATTTAGTCCTATTATTGACACTCTGTAAAAAGTCTGTTGAAAGGGAGATTTTTAGAATCTTATCTATTTCTCTTTTACTGAGATTCTTAAATAAACGATAGTATTCAACTGGCTTGAGTTCTCTTTCTTTTCGAGTTATTTCTTCAAGAACTTCGTCATAGGTCAGCCTATTCGTATTACTTCTTTTCTTATTGTTATTTCCTCTGTTGTTCCTATTTTTGGTAATTTTTAGACTGAAAAAGGGTGGTTTTCCATTGAACATGACAGGGTTATTGATACTAGAAATGTTACCGTATCCCTTGATGTTGTCATTGAGCCCAAATGGATAAGGTGTCATAAGAAGTTTAATCCAAAATAATTCTTTCTCTAGTAATATTTTTTTATCATTAGATCTAATGGAGTCTAGAATAGTTACTGTGATCCCTTTATCACATTTCCGAACGTGATTGTATAACAGTGTTTGTTTTTTATTCGTGGCAATATTCAAAAGGTGTTCCCCAACTCTTGCCTTCAATTTTCTTATGGTCATACCTACATATTGTATTCCACAACCTTTACAAGTTAAGCAATATATAACATTAGTGGAATTACAATCTGTGTCCTTATTCTTATAGGTATTAATTCTAAGACCCGTAACGAAAGAGTGCACATAGGGTTCCAGGATGGTAATGTCACAAGTTTTGCACCCTTTCACACATTTTATGTCCCTTGTTATTGTTTCCAAAGTCATGAAGTATGTATTGATTAGTACCAAAACCTTACCTTATTGAACTTGGTTTTTGTATAATAGTTGGAAGCATGATTTTCATTTTTTGGTCCAAAATCTAAGTATGTGAGCGACCCAACCCACATACAGAGAGAGGTCTTCCCATTTAGGGTTCGGCGGGGCTGCCGCCAGGGTGTGACTACCCTACTTGTTCCAAAGGAACGACTAGTACTGGGGGCGCCAAAAATAGACCCCTCAAGTCATTTTTGACTTTTATAAACCTCTTCAGCACTAATCCCTATTATTATTAAGAGGTATGGCCCTCTTTATAGTGTGTAGAGAAGTGGTTAGGGATTGTGTCATAATCCCCAAATTGGTGCAAACACAATTGATGAGAAAAAAAAAAAAAAAAAAAAAAGAGAGAAGAAGCTATCGTGTAAAAAACAAGGTTGGGATGTTATTGTGCAATAAGTTTTGATGTAAAAGTGAAAGGGCAAATTCAGTGAAGTCTCATAACGTAACCTTAAGCAAAAACCCAAGGTCCATATCCTGGATTATCAATACTTCGACCAATCACTTAACTTTTCCCGGGTCTAGCTGTCTTCAAAACGGTGCATGGTGCAAAAACAATGACTCCAATATCATATCCACTCTGGAAATTAGTATGGTCAAGTCCGAGTAAAAAAAAAAGGGGGGGGGTTGTGGCACCTAACCGAAATGAGGTTAAGAAATTTTTAAACTAGATCCAGATATGCCACATACTACCATATTGTAGAAAATTCCAGTCATATAACACTTTTCTTGACCAGTGGTGGGAAGCGTTGGAGTCGCTCATTCTAAAATTGACACAATGACATCCAAATCTTATACGAGCACTAAGTGATCAATGAGAAAACCGAAATAGGTATTGACCGTAACCTTACAATCATTGAGGTCACCTTAAAATAAAGTCAAATATCAATGTTCACAGCAGTTTTGATAGAAACTGAGACTTGAAAAAGCTACAGAAGACATCTCAAATACATAAAAACTTGAGTTGTCTGTTTAAGTTGTCCAGGATTATTCTTTGAACAATCGAAAGGTAATAAAGGACGTGAAATGACGAAGTTATACGAGAAGAGACTGCGAGACCACTGAAGATACGCCTGGACGAACATAGGAGGGCGCTGAATAATCCCGCCGCTTACCCTCGCAGCAGTTTCTCCAGGCACCGTACGTTAAGGCATACGAATGAAAACGCTCTCCTCTTTGAAGTTAGCGTTCTTCACAGACATATGATACGGCCCCTGGAGAGGAAAATCATGGAAGCGCGGGAGATATACCGCATCAAGCCAGAAATAAACGCTAAAGAAGAGCTACGTGACCTTCTGAGGCTTTTGACTTGATCAGCGAGCCCCTTTCCCTCTGGAGTGGCGTCTCAATTTCATTTTCAAGCCAACCCCGATAGGCCGCCCCTCTTCTTCTTTACGTTTCTGGTATGTATCGATGCATGATGTTCTTTGTGTTGTAGTTGCTGTTATTGTAATGTTAAGGTTGGTCTGATGATGGCATTATTGCCGAAAGCTTACCAATAAATACAAGACCAAGAGCTTCAAGACATCTAATCGAACACAATATCAAATGAGGCTCAGAGATAGCAGCATTTTACCAAAGTGAATTATGTTCGTATAAACCATAAAAAGTCCACTCAGCTAAAATTATTCTCATCTTTCAGACGCTTCCACATTGTCTTTTGATGCGCAAAGCATGGACGCCTGCCTTGTGTGATACTTTCAGGTTCGACTCGAAGAAGTTGGACTCTCACGTTTTGACGTCATTTACTTACTACATTCACTTGCTGCTGAGGAGTGCTGCATTGACCAGGGTCAATAACATTCTGACGGCGCCAGATTTGTGCTATGTGGCGCAAAGTCGTGAAAGTTATACGACACCACTCCCCGATTTCTTGTTGCGTTATTTTCGCGACATCATAGTCTTGTGCTATCGTGCAACAGTTTATACTGCTCAAATATCACTGGACGCAGTGCTTGTTTCAACGCGAGCGGGCTGTTGTGTGTAGGATACAGCTGTAACTGTCTGACCCACAATCAGCACGCCATCAGGACTCGATCTTACCCCTTATTCATCGCACAGTAAGCAAGAACTTTTTTCTCCGTGGATTTCTCGACCTGAGTCACACGTGCGCCCATGCTGTCTGCCAACCTCAGCCGGCCTCCTCACTTTTTATCGGGGTATATCGCTTTGTGAAACGCGCTCACAACGAAGTCAAGAGCTTCCTTAAAATCACGGAACAGGGTTCAACCATTGGCAACCACTACCGCTTGGACGCACCCTCGGGAGGTTCGAAACGGTTTTTCTGTCCTTAACAGTCGGCCTTAACAGTCTCAGAGGCTTCACAATTTACTGTTGACACGGACGAATCTCCACGCAAGTTTCTGTGTGGTTTGGCGAGGGCTCAATTCGTTGGCTTTCTTTAGTTCTTCATTACCTAAGGTACAGGCCAGTATCCATGCTCTCCATCCTCAAGTCTTTTATCTCAGTCCTGGAAACGCTGAAGCCGTAGGCGGAAAAACCTTGAAGTTTAAGCGGCCTGTTGGCTGTTCTTTGGCTGATGCGATGAGATTTCATGGCCGCTTTTCCTTGCTTGCAGTTGTACTACATGTACACGCGCAGACCACGTTTTTGATCAACCAGCTTTGAGCAGAAGTTTCGGCCCGGAACAATCGTCCACTGGCACCTTCGATCACCTCGTATGCAATCGGAGACGCTCTCTCGAACGAGTGCTCACTTAGTGCGAGATACTGTCTTTCAGCTGAGGAACCAAAACACAAAACGAATCGACATTAAGTAGCCAACTAATAATTTTTTATGGAAATGGTTAGGAATTGGGAAGTTCTCACTAAAATCATACAGTATGGGGGAAGAAATTTGAAAGTAATTCCGAAAGATGGGCAGGTGGTTTTGTATATGTGTATATATGTATATTATGCAGCACCGCGTCGGGGAGGGAATGAAATCCCGGTCACCTTGTATCGGCCAATTATGTCTTCTATCCTTCCACTCTTTTTACCAGACTCATATGGGAAAATGGAAATACTAACTTGCGCATTGGCTGACTCCCATGTTTCATTGTATATACTACATCGCTTTCCAATTCCATGATTCTGATTGGAAGGGGCGCGGGTGAAGGCGGGTTCTAAAAAAGTATTGGTCATAGCTTCAGCCTTTGTGTAGTACATACCAGTAAATGCATTTAACGTTTCATAGGACTTTGGATAGAGAGCAGGGTAAATCGATAGATTAAAGAATGCTGCTTACGAGTATGGAGGCCAAAATTGATACGCGAATGTTCCAAGCAAGTTGTGAGCAACACCATTCTTAATTTTCCCTGAAACTTTATCTACAGGGATATTTAGGTGGTTTGATCACGGAAGTTACATCCATTCCTGACACACTCGCCATCTGGCGCAATTTTGGCTCCACAGCTTACTTCTCCATTTTCTTCTATAGTTGACCGCTCACAACTTGATGGTAAACTTCTTTTCGATTCTATCAATTTAACCAGGCTTCTTTCAAAAGTTCCATGAGAATTAAAAGCTCCCTTGGTAATGTCACCATAACCCCGCAGAAATTTCAAGACTGATAACAAAACACTCCTGAGTCATTGCTCAAACCTAACATGTTTTACTTAGGATGAGCTAGCTAAGCAAAAAAGCAAGCTCAATGAAACAACTGAGGCACTCGCAGCGTTCGAGAAGAATCTTGAGCTTGGTCGCAACAAGATGGACACCACCATAAACGCAGAGATACAACGCAGGTGATTTTAGCATTTTCCGCACACCACAGCATTTGCACGTCTATACGTTGTTCTACGACACGGAACTAAAAATAGGATCGGAGCATAATGAAATGAGTACAGAAACGGTGTTGCACGACGTGCATCACACGAGTTGCGCGTTTCAAAAAGCAGAAGCAGTCCCAGGAGGGAACCAGAGAGGTGTAGGAGGTAGAGTATCTTCACGCATTGGCGCGCATCTACTATTCAACTTTCACACATTGACGACAGCGCGGGATGTGTATCCCGTGCTTTGCAGGCCACGTGCGGGAGATGTGCTCCCGCACCCATTCCATCGTTTTATTCGCAGATGCACGACTTCTTCCGAGCTTTTTTGTTTTTGATAGATTGGATATTAATATAACTATAAAAGTTGTGGTCCATGGAAATCGTGAACTTTTCAATTCCAACTTAAAGGTTTTCCAGAACTAAGAAAGAAGTTAGAAATTGTGAATGGCATTCGAATGTTTGGCCAAAACGCTGAGAACGATAAATTTGCAAGTTGTAGTAGCTTTAACTTTCATACTAGTAGAAAAACGTCTTCGAACACTCGACATTGAGGTCTTCAATTTGATCTATTTTGTCATCCTAAATAGACCTTCCTCACGAGGGAGGTCTTTCAGGTACCCGCGCTTTCTCAAAACGGTTTTTTGCATGATGTAGAGGGATGTGCGTGGATTACAGAACTGTAGTCCATTTCCGCTAAATGGCTTCTGAATGCCAAAAAAGGAGTGAAAATAATTTCGTCAGATAGTGCAATTTTTGCGCATTCACCGTGGTTTGTTTCATTTATGGCGTGGACTGCTTGCATAACGAAGGTTCTCGCAAGCTCTGTATCGAAAACAACGCGAAGTTTGGCCAAAATTGGAAAGTTGTCGTAGCGATGACATGCTATGTAGTGAAGAGCGTGTGGAAGTTTCATGGGTGCATTTGGCTACTCAGCATTCGGATGCGTCGGTGGTGTAGTGGATAGCGATATGGACTTCAATTGGCACGGTTGGACGGGGTTGCTGGTTCGGATCCTCGAGACGCAATTTTTTGCGTTTTTCTTGTTGGCACTTCCAGATCTCGATCTAGAGGCTCCAATAGTCGCATAAAGGTCCATAATATGTGTATTATTCATGGACAGAACCGTTAATAACCCCGATGAGGTATGTTTTCACCAAAATACAGGCAAACAAAGTTGTAACGTCGAAATGGCGCCAGATAGCGGTGGCTCCAAAAAACAATGCCATATTCTTAACCAGCGCACTGGTTTACCTCTATAGCCGAAGTTTCGAGGGAAAATCCTATCTCTGACCTAACTCCGAAAATTTCCACCACCAGAATAGTACTCTTCAAGTATTTCAAGTAGTAGTCGCTTGGGGCATCCTCCGTGTGGAGAACTAGCAGAAACTACTGCATTGCGGATGTCCCCTCTCCCCAACCGTCATTAGCTTGAGTGTCTACTATTCTGTTCGGTGGGAACATTTCTCATTCCTTGATGAGGATCTACAGGAGGTCATTTTCAAGAAGTTCGCCGTCGAGCCTGACGTGCTACAGAGTTTACTTACTCATAGAGCAATTTTTCGAAGTTGGGTCAAAGTATTGATTTTCTTGGAAACTTCGGATACAAGGGTAATCAGGTGTCCTGATTACGACTATGACATTCATTTTCAGCTCCGACATCATTTTGGGCCCCTATGACGCTGTTCGACGGCACGTTGGTGCCGTTCTTGCGTCACAACTTTCTCCCACCAGTTTTCGGTATACGCTTACTTTTAAGGGTTTTTGCAAGCCTAATTACAAATATGACGTCATTTCCTGGTGTTGACGTATTTGGTGCCACGCTTGTTGCGCCAAATCACAATGCAAAAAATTTGTCGTAGCGGCGGAATCGGACCAAGGACCATTTGCTCACTCCTTTTTTGGCGTTCAAAAAGCCATTTAGCGGAAATGGACTACAGTTCTGGAATCCATGCACATCCCTCTACATCATGAAAAAAAACCGTTTTGAGAAAGCGCGGGTACACCAGAAAGACCTCCCCTTGTCAGGGTGCATAACCAAGTACAGGCATAACCGAAAGGGTTAATTTGGCC